GGCCCTGAAGCTTAAGCTTCATTAGTTTCATAGCAGAACCGCCCCTGGGCTCCACCCCCAAAATCTCCAGGTATTTCTGAACCTGGAGATGGCAACCTGGAGCTAAAGTTATAAATATATATATATATATATTTTAAAGTTGCTTCAGAATTAGAGGCCCTGAAGCTTAAGCTTCATTAGTTTCATAGCAGAACCGCCCCTGGGCTCCACCCCCAAAATCTCCAGGTATTTCTGAACCTGGAGATGGCAACCTGGAGCTAAAGTTATAGAAGTAAACACTGAACAACAGAAATTTGCACCAGATTGTCTCTTGATTGCAGCTGAACTACAGGTTCCTGCTTGGAAGAACGAGAAAGGGGGGGGGCGCGCCTTGTGGGTACTCAACGGCAATGCCTCCAATCCACCAAAGCGCTTTACCTTGTCCCAAATTGACTTCTCTTTTAAAAGAATTTCAGATCTCACAAGCACAGGAACCAGACTGTAATTCCAGTCTGAAAGACACAGCCTTTCGATAACCACACGATCATAACAATACCAACCAATTATACGTTGTCGAAGGCTTTCTTCTATTATGATAATAATACCAATTATTTATTTATTATTTATTTATTTATTTACATTCCACTTTATATCCCGCTCGAACCCCCTATCCAGGGGTCTCTGAGCGGCTTACAAGTCGGTGCTAGTCACCATTTCAATTTTTCCTAGCTAGGGCCACAGGTTCTATGCGGGGTGGGGCAACCTACCAGGCCCCCCTGTGGTGGTGGTTGGTGTTGTTTTTCCTTCAGGTTCTTTTTTTTTGTCGGCGGTCTTCTGGCGGCGGTCTCTGGCGGGGTGCTCTTCCTGGCGCTTGGTGGAACTGCCTCTCTTGCAGCGCGCGGCTCCGCCTTCTTCCGGCCTCAGCAACGTCCCTTCCGGCTCCGCTGGGCCAGCGCTTGGCATTCTCGCGCGCCCCTTCTCGGCGGCAGCCACTCCGATGTCCTCGCCTCTTCGGCCGCCAGGGATCGCTCCTCCGGCCGCACCCGCTCGCCATCGCTGCCGCATCGCCACGCCACACCATCTGCACCGGAACCGATGCCTCGCCGCCGCCGTCTCCGCCGTCGCAACCACCACGCCAGGCAGGGTGCCCCCCACCCTACTAAGGGTGGGTACCCATTTATCTACTTGCAATTATGTTGCTTTCGAACCGCTGGTTCAGCTCCCTCCCTTCCACTAATTAACTCACATACAACTTTTGAGTCCAGCTGGGCTCAAAATTTGTTCTACTGCTTCAGACCCACTACACGACTGCCCACCAGAAAACCAATTACCTTCTACAAGACGACAGAGAACATCCCCTGCTCCTGAAGGAACCAGACTTTCTCTGCTATCAAGCTCCACCCAGTGACTCCTCCTCTAGGGAGGTTCCTGGGAAAGGCATTTCTGTTGGCTTCTCCCTGACGAAACGCTCCGCATTCATCGGGGCAATAAGATGTACGAGGGGGCGTGGCACGGAGGCAATTTGAAATACATATTCTCGAGCCTTTGTCTATTTTGCCCACCGTTCGACTCCCGAGAGCTTTCCCGATGGTTTTCTACCAGCTCAACCCAGAAACCTGATTTTCCCACTGAATTGCAGACAGAGCCAGACCGTTGCTTTGGTCAATGTCCTCGCAACTTTTCTGGTTCTGTCCCTACTCAGTTTTGAGTTTCTGGCTCTAAAGTCATAACAGCAGCTACAAAGAGTACTGGAAGAAGACAGGGAGACACAGATCAAGCCCAGTCTGGCTGGGCAGGCTGTGACAACAAAGCGGACAATTAAGTGGTATTTGAAAAATGTTTTTTCTGATCACATCACAGTAAGTAAAGCTCTAGCTTAAGTTATCCAAAGTCTGCACAGGTCTAGAAAAGTGAGGCAAGATGGCTGCACATGACTTCGAAAACTCCCAGCAATATGTTCCTGTGAATTCATCTGCAACAGAGACTGGAGAAACTGGTGGAAATGGCAAAGGTTGCTTATGTAAAGCAGATTCAGGTGGGTAGCCGTCTTAATCTGGAGCAACAGCAAAATTCAAGTTCAGGCACACCTTTAAAACTATCAAAGTTTTATTCAGGGTATAAGCTTTTATGTGCACGCACACTTCTTCAGATGCATTGAAACGGAAGTTACCGTCCATACATATAGGTAGATGGTGAGCAGCAGATACAACATAATGAAGATGTTTAACAGATACAAGGGCCAAACATAAATAACAAGCTTCGTTTATATGGTCACCATTTGTTTAGATTTAATCCCATGAAAAAGGGGGGGGACATAGTGAAGCAAATAAATGTATCAGAATTGGAGACTGGTGTGTAATGTACCCTTCTTAATTGTGGAATGGTGAGAGTAATTAACCGAGACCCTGTTGTTGTGCCGCATCCATGTTCTCTCAAGCATGGAGGTAACTAACAGCATCCTTTTCTTTAAGGTGGGGTGATTGGTTCTGCAGTGTTATGTCTGTCTCCTCTGTCACCAGACCAGAGAAATACATTCAAATCTACCATTCCACCTTATATTGCATTCTACTATTCTACTCTAATTTTGTTATGTAAAGCAGTTTGTCTGAAATGTCAGGCAGGACAGATAGTATCAACTGATGAAATACCATTTTTTCCTGCCTTGTATCTGTATTTGACTATCATGTCTAATATTCTGTGCTTGTCTTGTTAGATGTATCATCCTATTGATTGCATCAATTTATATTGTGTAATCTGCCTTGATTGTCAATAAGAAAGGTGGTCTGTAAATATAGTAAATAAATAAAACTGTAATAACCATTGTTGCCACCAGGCTGGGAGGGAAAAAATCTCCCCTTTGAATAGATACTTAATGTGTGGAAATGGGACATGACTTTTTTATGTCATACAGGTAAATAACATCCCGCACTCTAGGATTCACCCAAGTCTTTATGGTTTTACCATAGAGTTTCCATTGAATTCTAGACAGTTGTGACAACATGATGATGTCACTTCTGGGTTCTCCCCAGAAGTGACGCCACTCTGCTTTCACAAAGCTGATTTTTCCACCATTTTTTCCCTGCTGCCCTACTGAGTGTTGGCAGGTGCCGGGGACTGCTGGTAAGGGTCACCTCACAGCCCTAATTACAACTGATCTCCCGCCTACAAATATCACTTCCCCTACAAGAAATGGATGCTTCAGAGGTCGGACTGTCTGGTATCATATCCCCACTGAGCTCTCTGTCCTCTCCTGGCATGTCCTCTAGATCGCCAGAAATTTTCCGAGCTGGAGTTGGCAGCCCTATACCATCTGGGATACCATGCTTTTCATGAAAGCTAATAGCAGCTTTTTCTACCTTTTGGCTCTTCTATTCTGAATGCAGTTTTTAAATAAAACCTTTTAAAATACAGCTGGGGCTTTGTATGGCTGTGCCTACTAGATGTTACTAATAGTGTGTGTGTGCTTCGAAGTATCACAGAAACATTTGGCTGGCCCATGCTGGGAACAGAATGTGGGAGAAGAGAGGGTGTTAAAAAAAAAGTGGTGGCTGTAATCAATGTTCCCTCTAAGCTGTGGAGTCCTGTGAGCAAAAATTCTACTTTGTGAGCTGCTGGCATTAAAGTTGTGAGCGAGCCATTTGGCTGCTGCATATATTAGTTTGCTGTGGAGCCATCCTTCCTGAGCTGAGACAAAAATGTGTGAGCTGGAGGCTAAAAAACCGTGAGCCAGCTCACAGTAACTCAGCTTAGAGGGAACACTGGTTCTAATTCGAGTACATATATTGCCCTTTCAGAAGCTCCATTCATTGATGGTTAATTGTAATTTCCCACATAGGGCTGATAGGTGCATGTTAGATATAACTCCAGGCCTTTTGCTAGTAACTCACTGGAACAACACTGAAACCCAGAAAATACTGAAATGTTTTTTTCTTTCTCATCCATAGATTTGAAACGTATCAGCCTGCTCATAATTTTTCCCCTCACGGGAAGCCTAATATTGAATCTCGTTCTGTTCATCCGTGTCTTGGCAGGTGAGTGAGGACCTGCGTTCATCCCTGCGTGTTGAGTCTTCTGTCATCTTAATTATGAACTCGCTGGATGACAGACTAGCCGGCTCTTGCAAACATCCTATTCTTGTCCCCAGAGGCCATTGTTGACTTTATAGGTGTGCCGAATTAGTTTGAGAACAATGAATACAATGAATATCACTTGCATCTGACGAAGAGAGCTGTGGTTCTCGAAAGCTTATGCTACAATAAAGTTTGTTAGTCTTAAAGGTGCTACTGAGCTTTTTACTATTTTGCAGCAACAGACTAACTCGGCTAACTCCTCTGGCACTTAGAGATAGGTACCCACAGCCTCATCAAGGCAGCCCTTGCACCCCTTGGTGATAGGCCTGTATCTACATGTCCATTATAGCAGCTTGACTAGTTTAGGTTAACATAGAGGTAAACTTATGATACCCGTTTTAGAGAGAGAATTCCAGCGATCATGAAAAGATGTGAGCGCTAGTGAGGAGAGGCTCTGCCATCCCTGGTCTTAGTGATGTTGAATAAAAATAAGTGCGCTGGCAAGCATTATCGCCAACACTGTTACCACTGGAGGACTCCAGTAAAATCGGGGTACATTTCACTTTTCATCTAGGCTGCCTCCCTTCAACTACATCCCCAAGAACAAATTAAGATTAAGTCTGAAATGTTGGAAATGTATGTGTTTGCAAGGTCTCACAATCCAGTCATTATAGGGTTAACTTATTTATCTTGTATGCTGTTGTTTACACTGATCTGGAAGGGAAACCTGGCTCAGAGCCAATGGGAAAATAGCGGGGGGGGGGGGACTTGTATTGTGATACAGATTGGTAACTGGTTTCAGGTGACTTCCTTTCTAGGGGTCAAGAAGAAGCAGATACTCAAATTTAATAATTTGAACACAGCTCAATCAATAGTTACAAACTCAACCATTACAATAACTCACCTTCTGAAATCCTTTTTATCTCCAGTGAGGCCAAGGGGACCGTCTCCAGCCCTTCCTACTTGCCCAGAGGTCTTCTGTCCAAACGGCTGGGTTGGGTACCAAGGGAAATGCTACTATTTTGCAAAGGCTGAAGGAAACTGGACTTCTAGCAAGATGCACTGCTGTTCTCTCAATGCTACTTTGGCTGTGGTTGATTCCCAAGAAGAGATGGTGGGCCTTTATTTACTGATGGCTTCATGTTGTGCCCTGGTTTGCAGTCTAGAGCTTCCGCACAAAAGGACCCAAGAGCTGTAGATGGTATTGCTTCAAGCCTTAGCTGTATAAATTATAATTCAAATCTAGGAGATTACTGCACGTGGGCTGAATCTACGCTTGGCAACGTCCTCAGTTTGGTGTAGTGGTTGTGCGTGGACTCTAATTTGGGAGAACCGGGTTTGATTCCCCACTCCTCCACTTGCACCTGGCTGGATGACCTTGGGCAAGCCATAGTTCTGATAAGAGCTGTTCTTGAAAAAGAGCAGTTTCTGTCAAGAGCTCTCTCTGCCCCACCTACCTCACAGGGTATCTGTTGTGGGGAGGGGGAGGGAAAGGAGTTTGTAAGCTGCTCTGAGACACCTTTGGGTAGTGAAGGGCGGGGTATAAATCCAATCTCTTTTCTTCTTCTATCCCCAACATGGACTGTTGACAAATGGGTTCTGGGAGTGCCATGCCTGAAATTTAATTCCCAGGCACATGGGAGCCCAATTTGGATCAGGATAATGGGGTGCTGGGAGAAGGGTCTTAACCCTCCACTACCACCACTGTTTTCCCAACCTGAAACAGCCCTGGGGAGCCCTCTGTTTGCTCCATTTGGGGGAAGTGCACGATCTTATGGGTACATATACCAATAGGTGAAGAGTGGCTTTCAGGGGCCATTTCAGGTTGGGAAAACAGCACAGGTGGGAGGACATAAGACCCTTCTCCCAGCACGTCATGGTCCTGACCCAAATCAGGCCCACAGGTGCCTGGGAAGTAAATTCTGAGCACAGATTTCCCAGCACATATCTAGTCAGCAATTCATGTGTTTTTTTCATGTGTCCTCTGAAATGCATGAATCTGCCCTTTGGTTAAATATTGGTTTTACATGATCACATCCTGGAGCCGTATCTATGAAAGACTGCCATTCAGCCTATACATCTGTGTACACGTTGCACTTGGCTCAGCAGTTCCTACTGGCTGTGCTCACCCTGAGTGCAGTGTGCACATTTATTGCCTGTTCTAATGCACTTTGGAACAGGCTCTTGGGACCACTGATCTTAGAACCAGACGCTTGACTTGAGCCTGGAAGCAGACAAGCCGCCTGTGCGGCAGTTTTAAAATGGTTGAGCTATATAACAAATGGAATGAATTATCTTTATGGGCAGGCCCAAGTAAAGCCTGTTACATTGATCCATTAAATGAAGTTGCAGTGACAGGAATCTGTTCCAGAGGAACAGATGTGTTAAGTGTTTCTACATGGATGCTTGGCTCTGTGTTCCCCCCCACTCACTCCAAACTGAAGCAGATCTTTCTGGGGCCTCAGCAAGATATCGTCATCTGGTCATCCCTCTTCCTGGCTTTCTCCAGCTTTA